GGATCGATGGGCACTTGGGCTTCTTCCATGACCTGGCAATTATGAATTGGGCTGCAATAAACATTCTGATACAAATATCTTTGTTGTAATGTGAGAGGGCTTTTCAAGAGTAAGGAGAGATAGGTAGGAGGAGTTTTTGGAAACAGGCAAACGATTTAGCTCTTTAAAGGGCTTGGGGGTAGGGAAAGTTCATTTGCAAAGACTAGTCAGGTAATATTCTGACTTAAGTGAAAAGGTGAAAAACTTGGAGGTGGAGGTGCTAGGTGGAAAAGCACTGTGTAGTAAGGCGATAAAGGCCTGGTACTGAGTGTGCTGGAAAGAGGGAGGAGGATCCTGCTTCAGTGAAACAACCTAGTGGAGTTGACTGACAAAGGGAAACAGACAAAGACAGGCAGAAATATAGGAGGCAGCCTGGCTGGATTGGAATCTGGCTTTGGCACTTAGGTATTTGAATGACTTGGCTAGCTATTTAGCATCTCTCGCTCTAGATTTCTTGCCTGTAAAATGGAGATAAGGATACTTATCTCCCTGGTAGCATTATGGTGGAGAATTCTTTAAACTTCTATTTACAGTGTGGTAGATACTTTTTAAAGTGCTGTGCATTTGTTAACTCATTTTGTTAATTGCCATATATAATTAAACAACTACATGTGTTTACTTAAATACTTTTAATATATCAGTTACCATATTGAAGTTATGTCTTGGCTGCTACAGTAATTTTTATTAATAAGCCAAAGTTTATTACAAGGTTGTGAGTCTGAGTAGCTAGGAGGATTGGGTCTTAGAGTCAGAAAAAGTGAGAGTGATTCAAGAAGTAAGGTAGGTGTGGTTATTGACATGTTAAATGCGGTACTATAGATATGCAAGTTAGGATGTCCACTGTGTGTTTGGAACCCTATAGTTAGTATTGTGGAAATAGAAATATGGGAGTTCCAGGGCCTAGATATGGCTTTATGAATGCTCTCCAAGGAAAATACTGCAGAAGAAGGTGGTAACTCTTAACTTGAATAACTATGGTTAAGAGGTTGGAGAAATTGGGGAAGAATTAATCAAATGGCCTAGGCTTAGAGCATTATTACCCTGTTAGTATTTCCTTGATTTTTAATTGGCTTTATGTTAGTTCCTGTGAGAAAAACAGTGAGGCCAGTAAGTGATTATTAATAGATAATATTAACAGTTGAGATGGAATATTTTTCTGTTAAACTAAAATAGCAGATGATAATCAGAAAGAGACCCTATAGAGTTAAACCAAACAACAGCAGCAACAACAACAAAAAGAAACAACTCTCTCCTAAAGGCTATAACTTCTATAATCTTGTGTTTTTTTAAATAACTTGTGTTTTGAGGGATGCTTTTCATTCTTTCATTTCAAAGCTGACAAGATTGACTTTTTATCATCTCCTTCACCTCTTATTCTTTTATCCATAACCAGTGCTTTCAGTGAGTTTGGTAAAATTGCAGAATTTTTGGCATCTTTCAAAAATTTTGTGCCAAGTGGCTCTACCATTTTTCTGTGCCAAAGGGAGATGGCTACTCTTTTACTGAAATCAAAGACAGACCCATGTAGACTAGAGCAGAAGTTCTCAAAGTATGGTTCCAGGAACTATAGGAGCCCCATCACTTGTTAGAGATGAAAAAATCATTGGCCTCACTGCAAATGCCACTGAATCAGAAACAGGTGCAAAGAGATGAGATGTTTTCATATTCCCGCCAAGTGATTTGGATGTATACTGGAGTTTGAGAACCACTGTACTAGAGGGTTAGCACCAGGAGGTCAGGGATTTTATCTTATTCAACATATTTCTGGTGTCTGGAACAGTGCCTGTCTAATTAATAGGTTTACAGTAAATATTCATTGATAAATATGTTCAGTTTCATGTTGTCAATATCAGTGTAAAAACTTTGATGCTATTTGAAAAGAGCAGAAGTGAATTGTTGGCTGCATTGAGGCTACAAATAAATACCAAATATTCATGAGGTGGGTGTGACATTTTGAAACTTGAGAAATTAAAAGTTTGATTACACATTGAGTCAACAGTGAGTAAAAAGTGAAATGTCCAGGTACTTTATATCAGTGATTTTATTCAGAGTAAGTAAAGTCACAAGACACATGCTTTTAACCACGTGATAGATAGCTCATGTTCTCTAGCCTAGTAGACCTGCATTTTCTTTGTTTATGTGCAGATTGCCTCACCTGTGGTATCAGCCATTATAACATGGGGCTCACCAAGCAGTACCTACGCTATGTTGCTAGTGCAGTTTTTGGCCTGATTGGCAGCCAAAAAGGTAATATTGTCTTTGTGACACTTCGTGGTGAGAAAGGACGCTATGTAGCAGTACCAGCCTGTGAGCACGTTTTCATCTGGGACTTGAGGAAAGGAGAAAAGGTGAGCTGAAAATCAACTGGGTTGATACTCATTTGTGGGTATTTAAGGATGGAGAGGCAGAAGTGGGAGAGCTCTGATTAATTTACCATGCATGGGTTTTTTTGTATATGTGTCTCTGGAAGAAAAATCTTTTTCCTTAAGTCTAAATAGTCAAGCGTCAAGTTCCTTTGTGTTTTTCTCTACCAAATTCTGAAAACCACAACCAAAGAGGAGCTTATTTCATAGATGTCTATTCATAGGAATATTTATAAGTCATTATTTGTAATTATTATTTCTGATTTATTTTTTTTTTACTTTGCCAATCATATTTTTCAGGTTCTTCTACTCTCTAGCCAGTTATAAAATCTTAAGCATATAAAAGGCGTATTACTCTGCTATCTTGACAGAACTTTTTTCTTGTTATACAGATGAGGCCCAGGGCTTTGATATTCTGTGTGACTCTGAATTCCCTATGCCTACCACTTCTGCCTTACTAAATATAGGCATTTTTGTCTTGTCCATTTATTATATAACTCCCAAGAGGTTACTTCTTAAATACTGCCACCCAGAGTAAAACTCCTATTGTACTGAAGAGTGGTTTCTCATAAAATGGGACTCAGTTAATTAAAGCAAGAGTGAGTTTATGATCCTTTTTTGAAAATCATTTAGTGTCAGCCTAGGATAAAGACTTGGTAATTTATTTCATTTATTTCCTTGGGATTTTGCAGGTATTATGCCAATGTAAAACTTTGGAGAAAATAATTTTACCTTTTATTGATGCTCTCAATTTTACTGTGTCTAATTATTCCCACAATTTATGTTTAACTCCTCTATATTGTTTTTGATTTTTATGATTTTAGATCCTCATCCTTCAGGGGCTTAAACATGAAGTCACTTGCTTATGCCCCTCCCCAGATGGACTGCACTTAGCTGTTGGTTATGAGGATGGATCTGTCCGAATCTTCAGTCTTCTGAGTGGGGAAGGAAATGTGACCTTCAATGGACACAAAGCAGCTGTCACTACCTTGAAGTATGATCAGCTAGGAGGCAGACTAGCATCTGGGTCCAAGGTGAGACTTTGATATTAGAGGAGTGTAAGGCTTGTGCTGAAAGAGGTTGTTAACAATAATTGTTGGGTGAAACAATAGACTCTCAGTGTACCAACATTGTGTAGATAGTACAGATAGTGAGGAGGATGAGTGAACTGGAAAGTTAATTTTGTTTCCTGTCATATTCTCTGATAAAAGCCTATTGAATACAGGAATGAGACAAAGGAACCCATAATAACTATTATAGAACATTATTATGGAAGTGCTACCCAAAATAGTATAACAAGGAACAGAAAACAAAGACTGGAAAAGAAGAGATAAAATGACAGTCATTTGCCATTGAGTTCTGTAAAAGCAGTAGTTTTCCCCTGTCTCCAAAGTCATAAATTAGAAAACATAATGTAAAATCCACTCACAATAGAATATTGGAGTAACAGACATAAAAATACCATACAGCTTTATTGAAGAATGTAATTGAAGACTTTTATAGAGACACAAACCATGTTTCTATGTCCACATACAGACAAGTATGGGAAAGATTAGTGTTTTCTAAGTTAAAGCAATTTTTTTTTTTTTTTTTTAGACAGAATCTTGCTCTGTTGCCCTGAGTAGAGTGCTATGGCATCAGCCTAGCTCATGGCAACCTCATGCTCCTTGGTTGGAGTGATTCTCCTGCCCTGGCCTCCCAAGTAGCTAGAACTGCAGGCCCCTGCCACAGTGCTTGTCTAATTTTTTTATTTTTAATGGAGACAGGGTTTCACTTTTGCTCGGGCTGATCTTGAACTCCTGAGCTCAAGTAATCCACTCGCCTTAGCCTCCCAAAGTGCTCGGAATACAGGCATGAACCACCATATCCCACCGAGACTGAACATTTTTCACTTATGGAACTGGTAGTGTTTTTAAGAAAACCAGTAATACCCAGAGTTACATGGATGAAAAAACTGGCCTTAACTGTACATATCCCTGCTAGTTCTAAAGATTTACCAACCTTCAGATCATTTTAATGCTGTGAATCAATGACTTTAAAAATAAACATACCTTTTAATCTAAGAATTTTCCATTTTAGTATTTCTCCTAATCAGAGCTATGTAAAGACATTTAAGTATAAGAATGCTCATTTCTGTATACTTACAGTATCAGAAAACTGGAAACTGACTAAATGTCTAAGATGGAAAATTTATTTTTTGTTTGGTATTTTTTTTAGTCCTCCAATGAATCTAAGAATAAAATAGAAAAATTTTAAAATAAGTTATAGTATATCCTTAGAGTTGATCATTATATAAATATCAGAAATAAGAACACTCTAGAATAGTACAGAAATAGTATAAGTTTTTAAAAGGGAGCAGTTATAAAATGATGTAGATGGCAGGAACTCAGTTTTCTAATAGGAAAGTGACAATCTGGATATATACATAAAGACTGGAACAATATAAAACAAAAGCAAAATATCTGGTGTTAATTCCTAAATGGACTAAGGCTAGTGTTTATTCCTCTGCACTTTCTGTTTGCTTTCCAAATTTTCTACAAGGGCTATGTATGGCCTTTGGAATAATTAAGTCCTTTTGTTTGTCAACTTAGACCTTACATGGTAAAGGAAGTTATTTTTCTTTTGTATTATTTTATCCCTTTAGGACACAGATGTTATTGTGTGGGATGTGATCAATGAAAGTGGCCTCTACCGTCTAAAAGGACACAAGGATGCCATTACACAGGCATTGTTTCTACGAGAAAAGAATCTGCTAGTTACTAGGTAAGGAAGCAGTGGTTTCATTTCCATCCTTTTCTAGGCAAATTCATTGGAGAAGGTTTCACAGCGGGAACTTAGGTTATGCCTTCCCCGTTTCTCCACACTGCTTATTCTCGCTCACATGCTGACTTCCTCTCCTGTTCTCTTGCTTTCCTGTCTCCTTCCTGCCCTTCCCAGAGTTAATTACAGTAGAAACTCTGTAAGTCGACCACCCAAGGGACTGTAACAAACTGGTTAACATACAGAGGTGGTCAACATATGAGGTCAACGTAAGAAACTAGGCCTACTACTGATAGGTACATGTAGTTTGTGTCCAGTCTATGGAAATTAGGTCAACATAAGGATGTGGTTCTTTTATTCTAATATCAGCCATTCCATGTTCCTTAACCTTTTGACACAACTTTTATGAAATGAGCTTTGTTTGCTTTCTGGATCCCTGAAAAGTTAGGAAAACAGAATATGGAGCAATGGGCAAATGTGAATACCAGGTGTTTGAAGTGGCCCACCTTCTGAGGAGAGATGTACCGTACTCTGTAGGCCGTCTGAATGTACATTAGGTTGAAGCCTTCAAAATTTCCCTTTATGTAGGTCAAAAATGATCAACTATCAACAATTTCATATGTTTCAACCTGATACAATAATTATTCTTGAAGAGTGATCCCTAGGAAAGGCTGGAATCCTAAAGTTTGCTAGGCAGTAATTAGAGAAACCATAGTAATAAGGCAGAATATCTTGTAAATGCCTTACCAGGGGTGGCTTTGTGCCTCTCAGACAGGATACAGGTGCATTAGTGTGTCTTGCTCAGATAACACACATTCTGTGAGAAAATGATTTTGTAGTTCTCATAGAAAATGTATATATTACAGCTTATGCAATGTAAAGGAAAAGAAATAATGTAAAGTGTGATTTTTATGGAATGCACTTCATAAATCTGGTTTTCAGGGATTATTTTGACTTGTTTTTATTTGTTTGTCCCAGTTTGGTAATGAAAGAGGATTGTATTAGATTTATATTAGTGAAAAGGCAGGGAAGAGGAGGCATTTGAGCAGATAGGTTAGAGCTAATTGGCAGAGAGGGACTATAGTAAGGGGTTAAGAATCAATTAGTGGATCGTTTTGAGAATCGTGCTAAAGTGCTTAATTCTGATTCATTGAGCTACTGTAAATTTAAAAAATTGAGATTATCTGACACTAGTCTATTAGGTGGGATGAGAGAACAGCAGTGGACAAAGAGGTCTGATGAGAAGGCATTAGGATAATCCAGGTAGTAGAACTTAAATTCAGGTAGGTGTATGTGCAGAAATGGACTAGAAGGGGTCAAGGCTTAGAAACACAGAGTGGGTGTTTCCAGGACACAGAGACAAGGTGGGTGTGGAAAGGAGGAGGCAGTGTCTAAGATGGTGCCCTGTCGGACGGTCTGAAAGAATGGCAGTGCTGTGGTGATGGACACTGGAAGAAGGAAAGCATGATGGATCAAGTTCTGTGTCCTTTGTACTCTGAATTCAGTCATTTTTGTGCTTTATCAGTAAAACATTTTCTGCATGAGAGTACACGGAGGTCTCTTTGTCTCTTTGCCCTTTCGTCTCAATGGTGGTAGCCCATTCACTGTCGTTGGTGAACATATCTTGCCTTGTAAACATATTTTTCTCTTCCCCAGTAAACTTTGTTTCACACTTGCCTTAAACAACAAAAAAAGAAAAAGTACATAGAGTATTAGGATCTTTGCTTTTTAGGAGAAAGTTTGGCTAGAATAGGAGCTTTAGACATTATTGATGTATATCATCTTTTTAAAGCATTAGATGAATCCTTGATCTCCCTGTTGAATGATTCTTCCTAGAAAAGTTCTTCTGCTATTTCTTCTTTTAGCGGGAAAGATACCACGGTGAAATGGTGGGACCTTGATACCCAGCACTGCTTCAAAACAATGGTTGGCCATCGAACTGAGGTACATATATGTAAGATTTGGGGCCCAAGGAGAGAATGGCAAGGCAAAAAGGAAAAGGCAGTTTTCTTCTCTGGCCCTTTTGGCTCCTTGTTTTTACTGCTCACAACAGTCATCATGTGCCAGCTTGAGAGACAGGGAGGTGGTTTGGTGGAAGCAGTGCCAGCTGGAGCAGGGACAGCTGCTCTGGCAGTTAGTAAAAAGTGACCTTGGATGGTTTTAATTCATGAACTTTATTATTTTTAAATAGCAGGTATCCACTTGTATTATTGTAGGAAAGTTTAATGATACTGTGTATATAATGTCTGCCCAACAGCGAATTGTAGCTATTACAATAGCTTCCTGAAGATAGATCTATTCAGCTGAGTTCAGGGGACTGTTTGACACATCTTTGCATCCTCCTCAATGCTTTGTTCATATCAGACTTTCACAAACATAATATCTGGAGTTAGTGAGGAGAAAAAGATTAAATTCCTTGACTTGATTTGCAAAAATGTTATTTTCATTGTTCATTTCCTGGATATTTGTGGACACTGCTGAAATCAAAGGAATAGAAAACTTAAAGTCATTATTTGGGTAGATTCTGGTTAGGGTTTATGATGAACAGCCATTATCACATAAGCAACAATTTTACTGCAAATCATTTTTTTTTTCTGTAAAAGTGAGATTTTTCTTAGTGCATTTTGAAAGGATTGCCTTAATATGTTTTTTCTTTGACTTTGATGTACCAAAGAAATTTCACTGCAGTGTACTTTTGGAATATCACATTTTAGAACCTAGAATCCCTTCAAAATCATTATTTGAATCTTTTTTACTCTATAGGTATGGGGATTGGTTTTGGTGTCAGAAGAGAAGCGACTCATCACTGGGGCCTCAGACAGTGAACTGAGGGCTTGGGACATAACCTATCTGCAAGAGGTAAGTAATTTTTTGGATCATGGACAATGGCATGTTTTAGTTTTATTGGCTCACTGGATTTAGCTTCAGATGTGATTATTGAGTGTTTCACATAGTACTAGAAGGAATTCTATCACATTAATAACCTGCAACTTCTAAACAAAGGTTTTCTTCATTATATGCTCATTGGTCTCATTCATTTAGCTCAGAAGAGGGCTCGCTTTAGGCTTAAAGCTTCTGGTACTGCTAAAGTTTTAGTTTGTGACAGTCTTACACTGATATTCCTGGACCATTGAGTGTTCATGCATGAACTTCAGAGTATCTGTGAACTTTTCCCCACAAAAATAGTTGTAGAATTTATGTGTGTTTATAAATATGTATATTCTGAAAAGATTTGTTACTTTTTATCAGATACTCAAAGAATTTGTGTAGAAAAACAGGTTATGGACCTTAGATTTAGCTAGTGTTAGATGTGTACTATTGTGTTCAGTAGTGATTTTGGTGAGTTCTATACTAGTGGGCTAGGTTTTCTATTTTATTTAAGGGGAAAATATAACCTTTACTGTAATGCCTTTGCAATTCCTAATGCCAGTTTGAGTCATTCCCTCTAGAACAGTGGTTCTCAGCCTTCCTAATGCCTCCTAATGCCATGACCCTTTAATATAGTTCCTTATGTTGTGGTGACCCCAACCATAAAATTATTTCCTCTTTTTTTTTTTTATTAGATCATAGCTATGTACATTGATACTGTCATGGGGTGCAGTGTGCTATTTTTATATAAAATTTGAAATATTCTTATCAAACTGCTTAATATAGCCTTCATGTCATTTTCTTAATTATTATGTTAAGACATTTATATTCTTCATTTAGAAAGATTCACATGTACCCTTAAAAGATAAACCATAGATGTGATTTCACCAATCACCCTCCCTTCACCCATCCTCCCCCCTCCCTTCCCCTATATTCTTGAGCTATAATTGGGTTATAGCTTTCCTTTGAAAGCTATAAATTAGTTTCATAGTAGGGCTGAGTATATTCGATACTTTTTCTTCCATTCTTGAGATACTTGCTAAGAAGAATATGTTCCAGCTCCATCCATGTAAACATGAAGGAGGTAAAGTCTCCATCTTTCTTTAGGGCTGCTTAGTATTCCATGGTGTACATATACCACAATTTATTGATCCATTTGTGGGTCCATGGGCACTTGGGCTTCTTCCATGACCTAGCAATTATGAATTGGGCTGCAATAAACATTCTGGTACAGATATCTTTGTTGTAGTGTGCTTTTTGGTCTTCTAGATATATACCTAGTAAAGGAATTATAGGATCAAATGGCAGGTCTATTTTTAGTTCTTTAAGTGTTCTCCAGATGTCTTTCCAAAAGGAACATATTAGTTTACAATCCCACCAGCAGTGTAGAAGTGTTCCCTTTTCTCCACAACCACACCAGCATCTGTGATTTTGGGATTCTGTGATATGGGCTAATCTTACTGGTGTTAGATGATATCTCAAAGTAGTTTTACTTTGCATCTCTGATGATTAAGAATGATGAGCATTTTTTTTTTTATGATGAGCATTTTTTTCATATATCTCTAGGCCATGCGCCTGTCTTCTTCAGAGAAGTTTCTCTTCAAGTCCCTTGCCCCACCCTGAGATGGGATCACTTGTTCTCTTCTTGCTAATACGATTCTGTGGATTCTGCTTATTAAACCTTTGTTGGAGACATAACCGCAAACATCTTCTCCCATTCTGAGGGCTGTCTGCTTGCTTGGCGGTGCAGAAGCTTTTTAGTTTGATGAGGTCCCAGTAGTGTATTTTTGATGTTGCTTTAATTGCCCGGGGGGTCCTCCTAATAAAATTTTCACCCAGGCCAATTTCTTCAAGTGTTTTACCTATACTTTCTTCTAGTATTTTTATAGTTTCGTGTCTTAAGTTTAAATCTTTAATTCAGTGAGAGTCTGTCTTAGTTAGTGGTAAAAGGTGTGGATCTACTTTCAGTCTTCTGTAGGTCACCAGCCAGTTTGCCCAGCACCATTTGTTAAATAGGGAATCTTTTCCCCACTCAATGTTTTTAGTTGGCTTGTCAAAGATCATGTAATGGCAGGTAGTTGGGTTCATCTCTTGGCTCTCTATTCTGTTCCATACAACTACCTCTCTGTTTTTGTGCCAGTACCATGCCATTTTGATCACTATCGATTTATAGTATAGTCTGAGGTCTGGTAGCATGATTCCTCCTGCTTGGTTTTTATTTCTGAGTAATATCTTGGCTATTTGAGGTTTTTTCTGATTCCATGTAAAGTGAAGTATTATTTTTTCAAGATCTTTAAAGTATGAGAGTGGAGCTTTAATAGGGATTACATTAAAATTATATATTGCTTTGGGTAGTATGGACATTTTAACAATGTTAATTCTCCCCAGCCATGAGCATGGTATGTTTTTCCATTTGTTAACATTTTTAGCTATTTCTTTTCTTTGAGTTTCATAGTTTGCTTTATAGAGATCTTTCATGTCATTTGTTAGGTAAACTCCCAAATATTTCATCTTCTTTGGCACTACTGTGAATGGAATAGAGTTCTTGACTACTTTTTCAGCTTGACTGTTGTTGGTATATATAAAGGCTACCAATTTATGAATGTTGATTTTGTAACCTGAGACGCTGCTGTATTCCTTATCACTTCTTGATTTGTAGTAGAATCTCTGGTGTTTTCCAGGTATACAATCATATCATCTGCGAAGAGTGAAAGTTTGATCTCTTCTGATCCTATATGGATACCCTTGATTGCCTTTTCTTCCCTAATTGCAATGGCTATAACTTCCATTACAATGTTAAAGGTGCCTGGAATGGGGGACTCCTGTGCTGCCATCTGCGGAACGCGCGTGGGTCTAGCAGGTCTCCAGCTGCAATACCGGGACTGGGCGCTTGGTCCTGTAGTGGTGGGGGATGCTGCTCTTGGGCACCCCCTCACTGTCTGTGTTGGCAAGGGGGGAAGGGTGGACTGGGAATTCAAAATGGCAGTGAAAACGTTTGTTCGGTTTTTCTGCCAGGCAAGAGAGTGTTCAGAATCTCAGCAGAGTCCCTCTAGGGGAGCAGACCCTTCTTCCTATAGCTCTCACATGTGGGGTAAGATAATAGGTCCTCAGTTCACTGCTCACCTGTAGAAATCTTACAGGAGCAAACGAAGAGAAAACATAGAGAAAAACCCAACTTTCTTGGGGGAGGGGATGGACACTTTTCCTTTGGGATGTATTATGTACCTGTAGATTGCTTTCTTGGAGTCTCAACTTGCCTCAGGAGAGATGTCCTGCAGATATCATTCTTCCCTCTTGGCTGGGTTCTCAGTCTACAACTTTATTGGGTATTTTCTGGACATTATCCTTCCCTCTGTATGGGAGCTGCTGTCAGATGCTTGTGCCTGTTGGCCATCTTGCCCCTCCCCCCATAAAGTTATTTTCATTGCTACTTCATAACTGTAATTTTGCTACTGTTACAAATCGTAATGTAAATATCTGATATGCAGGAGGTATTTTCATTATTACAAAGAGGTCGCAACCCACAGGTTGAGAACTGCTGCTCTAGAACATGGTAGACCTACCTAGGAACAGAGAAAGTTTTAAAGTTAATGAAGAATAGGTTATTTTTTCACTGTTGTCACTGGTGTAGTAGTTCTACTGTTTCTACTATAGAAAGTTACAGGAGATAATATAATGAATAATGTTTTGTTTGTCTATGATGAAGTCAATTTTTAATACATTTTTGAACCTGTCCTGCCATTGAAGAGATTTGATCAGAGAGATCACTGACTCTTAGTGGCCATCGGGAAGGTTTCAAAGTCATTAAGGTTAAGAATTACCTCCTGGAAGATGGTATTTTAGCTTTTATTTTCCCATTTTCATTTAACAGATTGAAGATTTGGAAGAACCAGAGCCAAAGAAGATTAAAGGGTCTTCTCCTGGAATACAGGCCTCTCTTGAAGCAGAGGATGATACCCCGGAGGTGGATGAAGCTCCTGAAGATGTAATTTTTTTTTTACCTTTAATCCAGTTGAATAGTGGGAAAAGTGAGAATTACAGATTGCAGTTCTCATCATTATTTTAGGGAATATTTTTCTCACCTGCATTTATTGGTATTATATCTTTTCAGAGGGTTAGCAGAACTGACATTTAACCCTCTTCTCTTGTGGTTTCTGTAGCGTATCCTTTCATGCAGAAAAGCTGGTTCCATAATGCGAGAAGGAAGAGACAGAGTTGTGAACCTCTCAGTTGACAAGACAGGCAGGATTCTTGCTTGCCATGTAAGTATGTAGGAGAAAATAACAAGGAATAACAATGCACTAGGCCAGCATTCATTCTTTCATGTTCAGTGTAGAGGTGTGGTTTTTTGCATGTTAATACTCCTTTGTAGGCTACTAACTGGACCTATAATCCCTATCTTCTATTAGCATAACAACAAAAAAAGCTCCTATTTTCTTATTAATAGTAACTTTATCAAATGCTGGCTTTTCTAAGCAATTTAAAAGCATTTAACTGCTGGGCACAGCAGCTCACACCTGTAATCCTAGCACTCTGGTAGGCAAAGGCAGGTAGATTGCTTAAACTCAGGAGTTTAAGATCAGCCTGAGCAAGAATGAGAACCCCGTCTTTGAAAATAGCATGGTATTTTGGTAGGCGCCTGTAGTCCCAGCTATTTGGGAGGCTGAGGCAAGAGAATCGCTTGAGCCCAAGAGTTTGAGGTTGCTGTGAGCTGTGATGCTACAGCACTCTACTGCCAGGGTGATAAAGTGAGACTCTGTCTCCAAAAAAGCATTTAACTTCTTGTTTAGTCTTCAGAGCAATTTTCTGAGTAGGAAATGGTATCCCCATTTTACAAATGAGCTAACAGACTCAGAGAGATTAAGTTGTCCAAGATATTAAAATAAGTAAGGGAAGAAAAAAAATAAATGTTGCTGTTTAGTTCTTACTGAGAATAAGCTAAATTACAATTTGCCTATCTTGGACTTACATCAATGTTTTGCCTTTTCTAGGGAACTGATTCTGTGCTAGAAGTGTTTCATATCCTTTCCAAAGAGGAAATTCAGAAGAAAATGGATAAGAAGATGAAGAAAGCTAGAAAGAAAGCAAAGTATGTTTTATTAATATTTGTTAATAGTGAAGTATCCTGAGTGGGCCAAGTGTTACTGAGAAAACTTGCAATTTTATGGAAATATTTACTCTATCTCCAGTAACTGTTAAAAGAGAACAAAGTTTCTCAGAGATAAAGTCATCTGATTTAGCACATCTTTTGACAGTTACTCTGGTTTATTTGAGATGGTTGGATTTTTAGGGGGAGGTTAATGAGTTTTTTAAAAGTCCTAAAGTTAGAAAAGTATACCAGAATCATTTCCATGGAATCATTTGAATTACAGAGACTTGTTCTCAGATCTTTTATGAGTCGTTGCATTCAGAATCTATTTTTTGAGGGTAGATATTAAGTGAAATAACACTTAGTTCAAAAACAGTTCTAGGTTCACCTTGTTGTTGATTTCTCAAGTTAATCCTGTATAGTTCAGTGACTTTCCCCAAATCACTTAGCTTATTGGTCCTGGGTCCAGATTTTGAACTCAAATAAGAGCAAAGGTACTTTTAAAAACGTAATACCATGATACTCTTTTCTTCCCCCTCCCTCTAGATTAAATTCTTGTGAAGGGGAAGAGGAAGACCTTGAAATCAATGTTGAAATGACTCTGCAAGATGAAATACAACGGGTGGTCAATATCAAAACTTCTGCAAAAATCAAGTAAGTAAAAATAAATTATCTGAAATATAGAAATAGTAGTAGTAAGCTGCAAAGTAATACTGGCTTCTTTATGCAATTTGTAAGCAGTATGTGTGAGGTGTGTATTTGGAGGCTGATTGTAAGACCTGTGTCGTCACACTTTGCCTCTATTGGAGCCTACTTACTATCTTATATTTGGATTATTATAATCTTTTAGCTATTCATTTACTGTCCTTTCCTGCTGCCAATTAAAAAAAATATATATCCCATGTTCAGAAAAGATGTATACACAAGAACAAAAGGCATGTGTCAGAATCAGGATCCCAGCCTAGGTTTCTCTGACTTACAAGCCTATATTCAACTACTACTAAATACGCAGAGTGCATTTATTTATAAAATTCTTTACATTTGTCCAAACTTGGTATAGATTGAGGATATCATAAAGCCTTTCCCATAGAAGAAGTTACCCTTGTAAACAAAAATGATAACTGGAACATTTGTGATTATTTCCATGCAGATCCTTTGACCTGATTCATACACCTCAAGGAGAGTTAAAGGCTGTCTTCTTGCTGCAAAACAACTTGGTGGAATTATATTCATTGCATCCATTCTTACCTACTCCTCAACCTGTCAGGACAAGCAGAATCACCATCGGGGGTCATCGCAGTGACGTGCGGACTCTGTCATTCAGCTCAGACAACATTGCTGTCCTTTCAGCAGCAGCTGATTCCGTTAAGATATGGAACAGGTTTGTGAAATGGTTTTCCTATAACTTTATCCTGTGGTAGTTTCTTTTTCTTTGAAATATTTGCTTTGTTATTAGCTTTTGAAAGATAGTTTTATCTTCAGTGCATTTTGGCCATTGGCCTGTGGAGTTTACAGTAGAAAAAGTTGTCTTTTTAAATGTGGAACAAAAAAATGCACACTTAGTCCACATGTGGAGTTTGTATCTTGTGGAGTTTGTACTTGGCTAGTGAAAAACACACAACCATACAGCCTCCTCTTTTAAAAAAAAAAGTGAATTCCTAGTAATGGCCAATGATTTTAATGGTCATTCTTATACTTCCTAGATGATTATTTCACACCTTCCCCTCCAGTACATCTAATGCCTGTAAGCTGAGACCTCGCTTCCCAGTTCACTGAAAAAATGGAAGAATCTAGAAGAGAACATTCACATGCTCTTAGTATATTTGCCAATTCAGTTGTGTCAGTGTGCATGTAATTTTTTTTCTTTGCTGCTATGTTGGTGCCTCCCATCAGGCTTTTATACCTACCATCTGACCAAAGTAGATCTTGTCATGTCATCAGTGATCATGTTTCTAAATCCAGTGACCTGTAAGTTTCATTTCATGCTCTCTTGAATTGATAACTTTCTCTTTGAAATCAACACGTTCTTTGACTTTATATTTCTCCTTTGCTGGAACCTGGCAGTTTTTCTCAGTCTTAGCTGACTCCTTCTTACTTTTATGACCTCTAAATCTCTGGACCTTTTCTCTGTGTAACTTCACTTTATCTGATCTCCAGTCATGTAAATTTCACTGTATGATGACACTTGATTTTATATATAACTTTAGTCTCTGCCTTGAGCAGCAGACTGATAGATCCAAATACATTGTATCACTACTCAGATGTCTAAGCATCTTAAACTTTTATATGTTCCAAACCTAATTTAGGATCTTTATTTCTCCAGTAATCTCCCCAGCTGCTATTCCTACAGACTTTCCTATCATAGTAAATAATTATTTCCTACTAGTTTTTCTAGCCTAAAAACTATCCTTGATTCAAGCCATTCTTGATTCTCTCTCACATCCCATATCCACCTAATCCATTAGGAAGCATTAATCAGCTCTACCTTCAAAACTTTTCTGAATCCTACCAGATTGATGGGAAGAGGTTGTAGGCAGTAAGAATAGGGAGCAAATAGCCATGAGGCAGTCACATTCTTACTGTGTTTAAGGGATAACAAGAAGGTCAGTTTGCTCCCGTGAAGGAGAAGAGGAACGTAGTAAGATAACTGTAAGGACACTGGCCCAATCCCAGTCCAAACCACCCTTTTCTCTCATCTAGATTGTCATTAATACCCCCCAACTGATCTGCCTGCCTCCTTACTTTCTCCTCTGTATCTGATGTCAGCACAGCAGCTGGCATAATTGTTTTTATTAAATATAATGGAAGTCAGACCACTTCTAGTAGTTCCATCTCACTCTAAAGCCAGTGTCCTCATAGAGATCTCTTACCACTCTCCTTCTAATATCCTCCCATATATCCCAGCTCTATTAAATTCCCAATATGCTGAAAAACGAAGTAGATTTCTCAAACACCTTTAAGAATATTAAGCAGGAAAGTCCGGGAAATCCAAGAAAATGTCACAGTTTACCTTTGTTCCTATGGCCTGTTCTGCTTCACGGGAGCCAACGGGCCTTTCTTGTTATCCTTTAAACACAGTAAGAATGTGCCTGCCTCGTGGCTGGTGTGCTCTCTGTTCTTTCTGCCTAGAACCCCTTCCCATCAATCTATCTGCAGGATTTTCCCATCTTCTCAGATGACAGTCCTGTCATTTTTTCCCAGTTCCTTGCACTCTTCATCCCCTTTACCCAGCATTGTATTTCTCCTTAATATCTGCTGTTACCTGATATACCAAATATTTGCATATTTATCATTCCCAAAGAATGCTAAGCTTTATGAAGTTAGGGACTTCTCCCATGTTATCCACTGTGATATCTCTAGCACCTAGAACAGAATCAGGTGAGTTGTGGGCATTCAGTATTTGTTGACTGAAGTGAACATCTGACATGTATTTGTTGAATGGATGAAACTTGATGGTCCCATAAAGTGAACTGTACTTGCAGGGTTATATAATGATATTCTCATTTGCCTTGCAATCCTTGAGGTGCACTCACTTCTTGGTAATCGCATGTCAGGCTGTGTGGAGCCCAGCAGATACTTCTCTCTACATTGCTTTTGTATAATCTCTGCCTGTAGAATTAGGTGGTCCTCACAAAGATAACAAAGTTTGGTGCTGTTTAACATTTTCCTTTTGACTGTAATTGAGTCTGAATCAAAGGTTTTTAAGACTTTCATCTTCTTTTAGTAGATCTCTGCATGGCTTAAGTGTGTGTTGAAATGTACGCCCTGACCTCTGAGACGGGGAAGCAGGTTCTCCTAATGCATGAGTTCACTATTCATTCTTTCTCACAGGTCCACCCTGCAGTGTATTCGCACCATGACCTGTGAATATGCACTCTGTTCATTCTTTGTACCTGGCGACAGGCAGGTGGTCATAGGAACAAAGGTAAACTGTGACCTTTTTTTGGATTTCTGGGACTTTCCTGCTTAATATTCTTAAAGTTGTTTGAGAAATCTACTTCCTTTTTTTAGCATATTGAGAATTTATTAGAGCTGGGATATATGGGAGGATATTAGTTTATTGCTCTTTTTTGTGGGTTTTTTAAAGTTTCATTTTCTTTATCTGTTAAAAAATTAAACTACGTGTTAGATTATGAAGGAGAAAATTAAAATCATGACCCTGGGATAATGACAACTAACATTTTAGTGATCATCCTTTATTGCACTTTTATGAACATATATATAATTGTTTTTCAATTAATGATAAAAGTGCCTCGTGTCAGACTGGGCAGATAGAAGCATTCAATAAAGCCAAAATGATCAAGTCCTCACTTTCAGATGCTAATCACATTAGGAGACAACCATGTGGGAATAGGCAGATGTGGATTTGGATTTGGCTTCTCTCATTTAGAATAGGAATATTTAGGGCACATCACATAACTTCTAATAGTATGTTTCTTCATCTATATAATGAGATTATGGCATTTGTTTTTTGACAGCAGCTTTTGCACCAGGTGGACCTACCTTTGCATCCAGGCTCTGTCACTTACTGGCTATGTAATCTTTCGGTCAAGTTAGCCCTCATAGCCTTAGTTTTCTCAAGTAAAATGATGTTAATTTACTTCCCTGGGATGAAGTGGGCAAAGCTCTTAGTGTAGAGGCTGGCCGACAGCAGGTGACTGACAGATACAGAGCTGTTAGCAGAGGTAGCAGTAGTGGTAGTGCTGGTGGGGAGGAGAAAATGGAATAAGGTCCATGGAGTGTTTTGAGAAGTGCTTTGTAAGTATTTGTCATTATCCCCAGAAACCAGTGCCATCTGTGCATGGATTTTATTAGAAAACTTAGGTAATACAATGAATATTTCTTGCCCAACAAAAAGTATAAAATAGGCTGAACAGATTTTAGGGTCAACATAAGGGAAATGGTATTAGCATTTCAATTAATAGTTTCCCTCATTATTCTTTTCAGAAGTCCACCTGCCATTGCTACTGGAAAGGCATTTTGTGAATTACTTTGCAGACTACCTATATGCAATGCCTGGCCAGTTTTCTGTACTAAGCAGTTAATATACGTTATCTCATTTAATACTTAGCATCTTGGTGACAATGGTGATATATATATATATACTTCACTTTACAAATGAAAAAATAGGTCCATGGGGATGAATTCACCAGTGGTCACAAAGTTGAAAAGAGGCAGACTGAGGACTCACGTCCTCTACCTCATGCTCTTTATACGACCTTGTGCAGAAGCTTCTCTAGAGTAGGTCTTGCTCTGTGTGTGTTACATGCTGACACCATGACCATGGCATGTACAGACTCTAAACTGATGTCATGGAGTTATTCTTCTCTACGCCATTCTGATTTTTATTATTTTACTCATTGCTCTCCCTAGCATCGTAGGTAGATCTCTATTTCTCCTTGTCAGTATAGTGTAGAGGAGGAACCCAAGCCTAGCTGGAGACGAGTGATTATAGAGGATCGTCCTCTTAATATTGATTAAATTTAAAGGCAACCTTGCCAAGGTTAATTCAACATGCTAGTAAGGGACTTAATAGCATTCAATCAGATAGAGAATACAGAGCCTGGAATATAGGCTTAGTTTCCTAAGTAGTGGATCACATTTTCACTGCTTGGTTGTGTGACCTCGTCTAAATTGTGCAGGCAAGAATTGTGGCATGCTTACTGCAACTGTCCTCATTTGTGTTCTCCTAGACAGGGAAGCTACAGCTTTATGACTTGGCCTCAGGAAATCTGCTGGAGTCGGTAGATGCCCATGATGGAGCGTTGTGGTCCATGTCTCTCTCTCCAGATCAGGTAACACAGGCAGATCTAAAGCTCTGGACTTCAGCCCTCTGGAGGCTTGTACCAAGTGTTGTCTCAGCCTAAGAAAGACTTCTCTCAGGATTTCTTCAAAGAAAGTCTGTTTTTTCATCTAATCTTTAGATTTCACATAGGCTCAACTGATCCTGCACATGATGAAATGTGCAGTTACCATACACACCGGATACTATGAAAGGCTGTCATTATGAAAAGAATTTTTATTCAGCTGCTCTTTGGTCATCAGCAACATGACATCAGATTGCCTATTCTCATGTTCTTTTTTATCAGTGGTATATGATGCTTTTAAGGGGGAATATTCTTTTGGATAACACAGTGCAGAGAATAGACTTCTCTGCTCTCCTTTTTGCCCAAACATCTATGACTACAGGGTGTCCCAAAAGTCACCCAAAAAGTTGCTGTGTACATGTAAGGAAAATGGGAAATTGTAGCTAAACGTACCTTTATTTACAAAATATTCATTACAGAATTTTACAAAATGGTGGCCAATACATAGAGAATATTTTGTAAAATTTTTCAACAAGTATTTTGTAAATGTACATTTAGCTACAATTTCTCATTTTCCCTACATATATTGACTTTACCTTGTAGTAGTTTTAGCAAATATGTCAGCCCTTAGTAGTCAATAAAAGTTTGCTTTCCTTCAAAGGAGTCACTACAAAGAATAGTATATATATTCAAAAAGTAATGCAGGTGATCATTTTGAGATATTTTTTGACAATACCTTTAGAAATTTTTGCCCATTTGTTGAATATTCTCAATGCGGAAACATTTTTATCCATTGATAGCAGATCTTAGTTATTGAAAAAAACTAAGATAAAGTGGTTAATATAAATGTAAATATTATAAATTATAATATAATATAAAGTGGTTAATCCCATTTGTGATCCAAACAAAACAGCTGTGATTTGAGGATAATAATAGGCTGGGCTCAGTAGCTGATGCCTATAATCCTAGCACTCTGAAGAGCCAAGGCAGGAGAATCCCTTGAGCCCAAGACCAGCCTGAGCAAGAGAGAGACCCCATGTCTACTAAAAGGTGAAAAAATTAACTGGGTGTTGTGGCAGGCACCTGGTCCCAGCTACTTGGGAGATTGAGGCAGGAGGATCAGTTGAGCCGAGGAAGTTGCTGTGAGCTATGATGCTACAACACTCTAGCCTGGGCAATAGTGAGACTCTGTCTTTTAAAAAAAAGATTGATTTGTAGAGTGTTCAGTTTCCATACGCTGGTAGTTATTCATTTCAGCACAACTAAAGATGTTTTGAGTGTTATATGATCCATGAGATAGTGGAATAGACACTTGGGATCCTGTTTTCTGATACTGGAAAACAGTTTCAAAATGTTTTAAGCAGGACCATTGTAGGAATAATCTTATAAACTTCTGAGGTGAGTTTTTTAAACAGACTAGATTATTTATTCTATGTATTGTCAAACTAGTTTTACTGTTTTATAGAAAATTCTTTTGATTCTTGTCACTTAGGTAGAGCAAAAACCTCCATATAACAGTTTTTCTTCCTGATGCTAACAAGCGGCTAACTAGTTAGCTGTCATTAGTTGTCATCTCTGTCCATGTTATTCTACAGTAGGGATTCTCAGGTTAGGGCTATGGCAGCACACCCAGAGAGCGGTGAAAGGGACGAGGGAGAACCACATTTTTCTTAATTCTTATCCCATCACATTAAAAGAAATTAGATCATTTTCATGTTTTTTAGCAAGGTTTGTATGCTAGAATAATTTTTTTGTTTGTTTTTGAGACAGAATCTCATTGTGTCACCCTTGGTAGAGTGCTGTGGCATCACAGCTCACAGCAACCTCAAATTGTTGGGCTTAAGCAATTCTCTTGCCTCAGCCTACCAAGTAGCTGGGAGTACAGGCTCTTGCCAGAACACCTGGCTAGCTAGAATAATTTTTAACCAAAATATCTTTTGATTTTCAGCGTGGCTTTGTGACAGGTGGTGCAGATAAATCTGTCAAGTTCTGGGAATTTGAATTGGTGAAAGATGAAAATAGTACCCAGAAGAGGTGAGTAGACAATTTTTGTGTCTATTTTTTTGGAATGGAAGTAGCCGTTGAATGGCTTTTTGGCTTATGTGTCTCTATTGTACTATAAAGAGCTAGAGAATCACCCGTGATTGCATAATCATTTTTTTCTTGATGTTTTCTGTGGTGCTAGACTTTCTGTGAAGCATACCCGGACCTTACAGCTAGATGAAGATGTTCTGTGTGTCAGTTACTCTCCTAATCAGAAGCTGTTGGCTGTGTCGTTGCTGGACTGTACAGTGAAAGTTTTCTATGTCGACACTTTAAAGGTATAGTGCTTATGCCTGGGAGTGTTTTCTTTCTGACTAGCCTTAAAAATTTAGGTTAAGCTTATAGAGAAGTAACAAGTGTGCCCAGCAATAATATGTGTCTGAAAATTTGGAAGTGCACTAGAGAGGCCAGAGTTTTAAAAGAATCCTAAAGTTCATAAATGTTTTAAAGTTATATTTTACATGTTCAGAAAATTTTGGAGATAGGAAATTCTGTCATAGCCAGTCATTTTAAGAGCATTGTCCTAGGTAGATTTCATACTTGACTATACATCAGAATCATTTGGGTTGCTCCTTTTTTTTTTTTTTTTTTCAGTTTTTGTCTGGGGTTCGGTTTGAACCTGCCACCTCCAGCATATGGGGCCAGCGCCCTATTTCTTTGAGCCACAGGCACTGCCCCCATCTGAGTTGCTTTTAAAAATATCACTGGGCTCTACAGTAGGTGTGAGACAAAGGCCCCAGAGTGTTCTGAGTGAAGAGATCAAAGAACAACTCTGAACCATATCTCAACTGAGGCAGTAAGCTTCTGGGTGCCTCCTAGCCTCCACTGTGTTGCAGTGTCCGTGGCACGAGCACACACAGGGTCTGGATAGTACGCACAGGGTCTGGATAGCGCACACAGGGTCTGGATAGTGCACACAGGGTCTGGATAGTGCGCACACAGGGTCTGGATAGCGCACACAGGGTCTGGATAGTGCACACAGGGTCTGGATAGCGCACACAGGGTCTGGATAGCGCGCACACAGGGTCTGGATAGCGCACACAAGGTCTGGATAGTGCACACAGGGTCTGGATAGTGCGCACACAGGGTCTGGATAGTGCACACAGGGTCTGGATAGCGCACACAGGGTCTGGATAGCGCACACAGGGTCTGGATAGCGCACACAGGGTCTGGATAGCGCACACAGGGTCTGGATAGTGCGCACACAGGGTCTGGATAGCGCACACAGGGTCTGGATAGCGCGCACAGGGTCTGGATAGCGCGCACAGGGTCTGGATAGTGCACACACAGGGTCTCGATAGTGCGCACACAGGGTCTGGATAGCGCACACAAGGTCTGGATAGCGCACACAGGGTCTGGATAGCGCACACAGGGTCTGGATAGTGCACACAGGGTCTGGATGGTGCGCACACAGGGTCTGGATGGTGCGCACACAGGGTCTGGATAGCGCACACAGGGTCTGGATAGCGCGCACAAGGTCTCGATAGCGCACACAGGGTCTGGATGGTGCGCACACAGGGTCTGGATAGCGCACACAAGGTCTGGATAGTGCACACAGGGTCTGGATAGTGCACACAGGGTCTGGATAGTGCACACAGGGTCTGGATAG